TCGTTTGAGTTCAATACTGATTTTATTGAATAAACTTAACGGTATTTACAGGAATTTGACTGGTACAAACGATTTCATGTAGCTGCCACAGGAACGACCGATAAATTAAGCTGAAAATCGTGATAAATTTATATATTTTAAAGAATTATTAATTTTGTCAATAAGTGCAAGGGTATATAAAATTTGGCTTGCCAAAGATTGCTTCTTTTGTTTTTTTTTTCTTGTTCTAAGAGATTTAGTAATGTTTTAATTTTTTAGATTTACGATTTAAATTGTAAAAATATCTTCTATGTTTTTTATTTTTTTGTATTTCTTTTATGCTTTTAAATTTATTGAAATCGGTAATCAATAACATTTAACTGCCATAGGAACGATTGCTTAATTGAGCTGAAAATCATCATAGCTTCAACGTTTTTTAACATATACGCGTATAAATCGAAATAATGATGTTTTAAAGAATATTTAAATTTTGTAATGGCTTGAACATAGATAACAACGTACGTTCTTGTTTTATACGGCAATAAAATCGTTTTTTAGTTTCTTAACGTAAGGTCCAGAATATCTTTTTTTCTGGATATTCAAGTGCTCGGTCATGATTCATCGTGCTTAATGCTCGTATGGTCTAGCTCTATTAGGACCCTTAACATTTGTATGGCTTTTATACAATACCCCTTCTTAGCTATTTTTTTTAAAACATGTCGATTTATAATCCCCATTTTTATTCTACTTCAGCTCATTTAACACAGTCTTCTTGTATGTTCAAGTCGAACTTAATATTTTGTCGTTTCTTCAACTATACTATCGTTCTCTTTTAATAAATTTAATGCGCGGTATCTATGAAATACCTGGCTGCGTCCTGGCCCTATTTAAATTATTCGCCTGATTTCTTGAAAGATTCCTTTATTCACATATTTGGAAGGATTCGTTTCTAATTTCAAGTTAATAAGCTTAATGCTAGAGATCCTGACCTTATAGCTTTGTCTGGGCGATGTCAAGGATGTTGAGGAGAAGCCGACGCTTGTGAAAAAGTTGAGTGACAAGATTGTGGCCGTGGGCTTTGGCGAACTCTGTTCCTTTGCCTTTTCGAGAATGGCAAACTGTATTCCTGGGGTTCCGGCATTAACAATCAACTGGGCGTTGGGGTTGGAGACGATGAGCTCGAGCCATTCGTGGTGGAGCAGTAAGCAGGAGCAAAAGGAGAATAAGGCGAAACCATCTGGCAGCAGCAGCAGCAGCAATAAACAGGACAAAACTCCTCTGCAGGATGATGCCGAAATAGAGGCCGAAGGGGAACCGACTCCCAAAAAGGCCAAGAATGCCAAGAAGCCACATTGTTTTTTTCTTAACCCAACTGAATGTTTTTGGCATACTGATATATAATCGTGGGAATATGTCACCACTGACGACCAAAAACTACAACGAAAATAGCCGGTACAAAAAGGCGGAAAGATTTTCCTTCACAAATAAAAAAAAAAACGTTCTTCTCTTTGCTTTGCGGCGCCTAACGAGGATCTAAATCTTATATTGCCTTCGTATTCTAGTTAACTACTATTTTTCAGTTTATCCTCCTTATTTGTGGTGAGATTAATAGCCTCGATTTGATAGATCGTCTTTAGTTTTGTGTGCCAACTAGAAATTATATTCCCCTAATATTAAAGTTTTGTAGATCTAATGTGACATGCATGAGCCTTTTAGAGTATTTTTTATTTATTATTTTTATTTAATATATTTTGCATCCCAGCACGACGAGTAATTAAAGTCTTAGTTTAATGTGCTAGTCACGTTTTGTTGTGATACGGAGTTATAATATTCTTATTCTAGATTACAATTTCTTTAAATATATAAAATTAATATAGATTTAAATTTGCGAAAAATTTAGTTAAGTTAGATAGAGTTTATGGTAAAGTGTGCGGTTAGGTTTAATTTGTATGTTTGGGCGTTTTTTTTTTTTTTGATTTAATGGGGTGCGGGAGTTGATTCCAGAGACGAGCAGAATTTAAAAAAAAATGATTTGCTGAACTGGAGAACCTGAAGCGGTTTACAATTAGATTTTTAGTTCTTTGAGATGCACTTAAACTCAACTCAGAAAAAATGTGCGACGGAACACTAGTGTGGATAATTTTATGGAGCAATTTCAGAGTTCTGCGCTTTATTGGGACACTACAGTCGGAAGATCATTTATATACATTGAAAACAATATTGGTTCCAGAACAGATCCCTGTGGTACACCCCGCGTAGTCGGTAAAAACGAAGACGAAATAGACGAAATGACGATTACTTACATTTTTGCTCATTCATTGAAGTCGACGACAAAACGGAAAAAGAAAGTGAAGCTTAAATGTATACAAAATATTTTTTACCATTTAAAGGTAACAACTGAAAACCATTAAACGTTAAAACTAGCGGGATAAACACAATATAATAAAAAAAACAATAAAATTTGAATTTAACGTTTAAAAGGCAGTGTGACTGTGAACTTATTACCAAAAAAATTTCAAGCATTGTCGATATAGTTGTCCCTGTTTCTGAGCTTCAATTAATTCGACAATGAATGAGGCGAACAATGTAATGTCATACTTTTATAACTGAATCTAAATCATTCCCAAATCAACCGGGTTCATTGCTTTGCAATTTGATAACCGACACTATAGGTGACTAAAAGGGATGCCTTGAAGATTAGTACAAGATTTTCTGAAGTGGAGAAATCCAGAACATCCCAAGAGGAGCATTGATAAACAGGAACAGCTCGGCCGGCCGCCCGCGTTTTTAAGAACACGTCGAATGTAAAACTATTTTAATACTACTTAAATTGCGTGTCCTTCAACAACCTGATTATGGAAGTCTTTTTCGTTGACAAGAATACTCGCATAGCCTGGAAGCTATTTTACCATACTATTTTTCCATACTCATTCTAATGCTGGAGCCAAATCCACTATCAACAGCAATAAAAAAAATATATATATTTATAATACTAAATGAGCAAAGACATTAATGCATTTTTTAAAAGCCAATGAATATAAAAATTTGACCAAAAATAACATAAAGAGAAGGAGTGCAGTGAGCAACTTAATTTGAGGTTCAAAGAAGTAAACGTCAGAACTTCGAGTTGGCTTACATATTTAAATTGCGTGTCCTTCAACAACCTGATTATGGAAGTCTTTTTCGTTGACAAGAATACTCGCATAGCCTGGAAGCTATTTTACCATACTATTTTTCCATACTCATTCTAATGCTGCAGCCAAATCCACTATCAACAGCAATACAAAAAATATATATATTTATAATACTAAATGAGCAAAGACATTAATGCATTTTTTAAAAGCCAATGAATATAAAAATTTGACCAAAAATAACATAAAGAGAAGGAGTGCAGTGAGCAACTTAATTTGAGGTTCAAAGAAGTAAACGTCAGAACTTCGAGTTGGCTTACATATTTAAAAATGTCGCAGTTTTATTTATTTTTTGTTTATTTGTGAATAAATGATTTAAGAACAGCCGCCTATATTCAGCCGCCGTAATTTTTAGTCCTCTAAAGCCCAGGGTCCAGGGATCGAGATATCAAAAGGAGCACAATTAAAAAACGACAGACACGGCTTTCATAATTGGCTCCTCTACCAAAATACATTTTTGTTCTTCATTTTTCAGAAATGTGTGGCACATTTCACATGAAACAAACAATGACTCCGTTCCGATTATTATTGTTTTAAACAGTACAAACAAGTGGCCAAATAAAACCAAATTGATTTCGCGAGGAAAACAGAAGTTACATAATATATGTCTCTTATATATAAAAAATTAAAACTAAGTATGGTCCAACTATGATAATATTGAAGAAACTGGATAGAGGTTGCTTTCAAAATTTAAAAATATACATTACTATAGTTATTGAAGTTATTATAATTATTGAGATTATTTATTTTAGACAACATTTATTGTAAAGTACATCTTAGAAAGTTGAGAAGATGGTAATTGCGGGTTGGTCTAAAAGGCATAAAAGGCTTACCAATTCTATGGAGGCAATATTACCTCTGACAAAGTTGTGCATTAAAAAAGATCGAAGCGTTATTGTACGATTTACAAGAGTGGGTAAATTAAGCCATAGTCTGCTAGGGTAAGAAAAAAACCTAACGTTTTTGCTCTCAGTTTAAGCTATGAAGGGCAAAAAGAAAAATTTTGTTTTGTACCGAATCAATACGAGCGATGTGTATTTGATATTGGGGACCTCAAACGAGAGAACAACATTCTAAAATAGGACGGGCAAGGAAAGTAAATAATAATTTAGTTGTTTAAAGATCATCAAATTCTTTTGACAAACGCTAAATAAACGCAAGAACACAAAGCCTTGTTAACAGTAGACTTTATATGGCAGTCGAATTTTAATTTTTGGTCAAGAAAAACATATTGTGAAGAGAATAGCTTATAAACGAAAGTGTACCCCTATAGAAAGTCATTACGTTACAATTAAGTCAATTTAGACTTTTATTTATTTCGTATTCTACTTTTTTCAACAACTATGCCAATGAAAGTGCTGGGCACGTTCCGAAATCTTTGCTAGCATATTTTTATATCCTTGCAGCAGGTATTATAATTTCAGTCAGAAATTTGCCTGGAGGTAGTAGATCTTTGCTCGCAGCGGGAACAGCTATGTGTGCGTGAAAACCGGGAGGCCGCGGATATGCATAAGAGAGAGGTGGAATGGTATTCGCAAAATGCGTCCAGTTGATCCCAAGCAATCGATGCGACCTATGTACATAGTAGAGATAATGGCCCTGGGTAAAACATTTTGTATAATCATCAACAATCAACAAAATATAAAATATAAATAAAAATAAATAAACAATAGTTTACAAAAATATTAGGTATTGAATTTAATACACAGCTAAAATATATAGAACAAAATATAAAATATAAATAAAAAAATACATTAGTTAAAAAAATTAGATATTGAGATACACTTTTAAGCGCTTGATTAATGTTAACTTATTATTTTATTTTTGCAGGAGGACGAAGAGGAAATTGTAGACGATGAAGTGATTGAAAAATTACTTAACGCAATTGATGCTTGCTTGTTGATATGTAACATTTATTCTACAGTAAGCGATCTTAAGTTTTTACAAGAGGATAATATATCACACATTATAAAGTTTACACAATTTCAACTACGTGAAACCATATTTCCTCTTCATGATCCGGTTTACACTGTAAAAAGTATGAAGAAAACAATTAATCGTAAAAAAATAAAGTCACATCAAAATCACAGTAGAAGTCTGCAGCTATTCTACTCAAAAACTGTTGAGCTATTAAAGGTTTTTGTAACTCTTTTTGATAAATGTGTCTTTGTTGATACAATAGTTCTACCATTGTCGACGTTGGCTATTGAACCGTTCTTTGTTGACAACATAGAGACGCTGCAATTTGTATGTTTGGAACTCGTAACCACAGTAAGTAGTTATCATTTAGGTAATAAATACATTAAAGTATTAATTATTACTTGTCTATAAGAATCCGTTTGATCGTTCTTAAAGTGATTAAAACATTTTTCTGATTTCCATTTATTTGGCAAAACGGGACAAAAAATTACGCACACCTTTCTTTACGGTCTATATATCTTATCTTGACATAATTATGAATTTGAAATTACGAAAACTATTTATATATAAGGTGTAGTAAAAAGTAATCCATTATTTGTACTTGAAATTCAAAGCTTTTTTATGGGTAAATTAACCGATTTATTTCAAAAAATCATCATTTTTTTCTACAATCGATTGCCAATTTGATGGAGAGTTCATGATACCCATCTCATAAAAACTCTAGTCCTTATTTGCAAAAAACGGAGCCAGTCGGTTTTCACAATCCTCTCTTGTAGTTTATTTTACACTATCCAAATCGTTCGACATTGTTTAAAAAATGTGGTAGCCACTTGGTGCGATGTCTGGGCTATAAGGTGGGTGGAAAGAACCTCCCATCCAAGCTCTCGGAGCTTGTGGCGAGTCGCTATTGATGTGTGTGGTCTAGCGTTAACCTGATGGAAAACAATTACTTTCCTGTTGGGGGAGCGCGGCTCTTCTGTCCAATTGCTTCCTTCAGACGGTCCAATTTTGGACAGTACAAAACCGAATTAACCATATCCCACCTAATACATAGCAAAAGTTTCTGGCCGTCAATCCTGGCTTAGCCACCGCCTGGGCCGGCTCAATCTTCTTCGACCACGACCGTTTTCGCCTCACGTTGTCGTAAGTGACCCACTTTTCATCACCAGTCACCATCCGCTTCAAAAACGGCTCGGTTTTGTTGCGAGTCAGTCCAAAAGGTTTTTTTTTATTGCTCATGTGGCACAAATACATCGAGCTTTTTTGTGTATCCAGCCTTTGTTAAATGGTTCCAAACTGTTTTTTGAGCAATGTTTAGCTCCTGGGCAATTGATTTACTGCTTGAATTACAGTTAGACTCAACGATTTCCATTATTTTGTCGGCATTGGCTTCCGCAGCGTCCCTCATCTTTAACATTAAAATTCAAAAATCAATATCGAAACAAAATCGACGAAACCGGATTTTTCAATTTTAATTTTTATTTAATTACGGTTTTGACGATGAATTTTCAGTTTTTATCAGCCTTTATTCTTTTGACAACATTATTTTTCTAAGTTGGTTCCAGTAGTAAGTTTACTGTTTCCCTATCGGCATCTCTATCGGGGTGTTTAGTGTACCGCGACCCGTAAGATCTATTGTACCCCCATTCAGAGCCTACAGCTCAGATATAAACCCACTACCTCAAATAAAGTCGAGGAGTTTTAGTGGGTTGATTCTTCCTAGGAGCTCAGGTGTAAGAGTTCTGGTTCCTAAGATTTTACATCTTATATTTGCTAAAGCCGAACAGTCTGCGATGCTGAGTTTAGAGGTTTTGTCCTCTATATCGCAGAATCTGCAAGTTCTACTGCTGGTTATTCCCATCTTACCTAGGTGACTTTTCAGTCTACAGTGCCCGGTTAGCAATCCGGTAACGATCCTAAGTGAATTTTCCCTAGTTGAATAAGTTCCTTGAACCTCTTCTTGTTGTAGTTATTTATTTGAGTTTTGGCTTGCCTTAGGCCTGGGGTATTATTCCTCCAGTGTTCTTGTCTCATGGCGCCTTCCTCTTTCCTAAGGTATTCTTTTATAGTGTGCCTCCCTATGCCACAGTAGGGCTCTGGTCCTTTCAGGGGCTGTTCGGCTCCTAGTTTTGCCATTTTATCGGCAAGTTCATTTTCGGATATATCCTTATGTCCCGGAATCCAGCCTGTTTCGGCTGCCCAATATATTTAGCTTACTCTTCACCTCTAGGACTAGCTTCGAGGTGATTTTGTTACTATGTAAAGCAGTTATTGCTGCTCGGCTGTCAGAAAGGATCGATATGTCCTATTCCTTGTATCCACGCTGTATGTTGAGCTCTGCACAACGTCCAATGACACATACCTCAGCCTGGAATATGCTGGTATATTGGCCAAGGGTTCATGGTATTTTATGCGAGGCCCTACCACTCAAAGGCCTGTGCCTTGTTGTGTCAGGGATCCATCTGTGTACCATGCTATAGTGTGTTTAGCCATAGGGTGAACTTCAGACAATGTGGTCCAATCTTTCTTATTGCCTGGGTGTGCTGTGAAGTTCTGCTCGAAGATTAATTCGGCTGTCATTTCATCCCTAGGGTGGAGTATTAGGGGCACCTCATTTAACAGATTAGTCGCATCCCTGTTACTTCGAATGCAACCACTACCTGTGTTGGACGATGTCGCAGAGTGTCGCTTCAAATTTGCCCCTGGCGATTATCACGATGTCATCAGCGTATCCCTGACATTGGATTCCTTTTCCAGCAAGTTTGCTGAGAAGCTCATCTACTAGCTGACTCCATAGCAAAGGGGACAGTACTCCTCCTTGCGGGCAGCGTCTGCTGGTTGCAATTGTCTCTCTATCCGAACCCAGTGTACATGTTGCTTGCCTGGATTCAAGTAGGTTGCCAATCCAGTTGCTCGTAGTAACATCTATGTTCCTTCTGGACATGGCAGCTCGAACTGCATCATGTGATGTGTTGTCGACGGTTCCCTCTATGTCTAGAAAGGCACAGATATCTATTTCTTTGCTGCCGATTGTCCCTTCTAGGGTGCGACATAGTTGATAAAGTGCAGTGTCTGTTGAACGAGAGAGAGCTGTTCTTCTGATATTGTAGTCTGCCAGTTTTTCCAACGTTTTAAGACAAAACAAAGTTAAGCTGATAGGTCTGAAGGACTTTGGGCTGGTGATGTCTTTCTTCTCGATCTTGGGGATGAAGACCACCCTAGCGCTTCACCATGCACTTGGGGTGTATCCAAGGGCTAGGCTGCTCACCATTAGTCTTCTTAGGCGGGTTAGGAGTAGTTCCTGCCCCTGCTGTAAGAAAGCTGGAGAGATCATGTCTAATCCCGGTGATTTAAATGGTTGGAAGGTTCCAATAGCGCATTTGAGTTTCTCGGGCGTAACTATAGACTTGGCTGCTGCCCAGTCACTAGCTCCTGTCCTAGGGGTTCTATGTTGATCACGAATTATGTTTCCCGTAGTGGGAGTACTCCCCGGAAAATGCGTGTCAAATAGCAATTCTGATTTCTCCCAATCCATGGAGGTTAAAGTGTTATTCCCTTTCCTCAGGGCTCAATTACTATCCGTTGCACTTTTAGCCATTGCTTTGTGCAGTCTCGCGCCCTCGTTGACGTTACTTATTGCCTCACAGAAGTTTAGTTTTTTCGTTTGGCTTTCCTGATCTCTTTGTTGTAGGGCGTCAGGCTTTGCCTGTATAGTTCCCAGTTCCTATCAGTTTTTGGTTTGTTGAAGAGCTTCCGAGTGGTTACTCGTAGTCATTTAAAACTAGCATTCCACCATGATGCGTCTGTTTCCCGCTTCTGTCTGCCTAGAGGACAACTGTCTTCAAAGGCATTCACTAATTCGTGACCTAGGTTGTCTACCGCTCTTTCTAATTCCAAGGGATGTTTAGGGTATCCTGACGGTTCGTTGGAAAGATCAAGCTCTAGAGTTGACCTGAATTTGTCCCAGTTTGTTTTTCTGGGGTTTCTTTTAGGGTTACATCTTTTTGTATTGAAGGCTACCTCAAACAAAATTGTCCTGTGGTCAGACATGGATTCTTCTGGTGACACATGCCAGTTCCTAATGTGGGGTTTTAATGAATTGGTTGCTAGAGTTATGTCTAGCACCTCTTCCCGTACCCTAGTAACAAATGTCGGCCTGGCGCCGACATTACAGATCTCTAGGTTATTGTTTAAAATAAATTATAGTAATTGCTCACCTCTGTTGTTGACATCCGTGCTGCCCCAGATCACATGGTGCGCGTTGGCATCGCATCCTATGATGAGGGGAATCTTGTTTGTCCGGCAGTGATCCACGAGCCCGGGTATTCCTGGCGGTGGACAGGCCTCCTCCCCGGCAAAGTAGGCGGAGGCCACTGCTAGTTTCGGTGCAGCTCCTGTGCCGTTGATGGCTACGGCGACGCAGTCTCTGCTCATGAACTCTGAAAAGATACTGTAATTGATATCTTTCCTTATAACAATGCATGATCTGGGAGGTAATCCTCCTGGATTGCATATTACCTTAGTGTCTTTTGTGTACAGGCCTTTTATGCCATGATGACACCATGGCTCCTGTACAAGGGCTAGCCCGAGGTGTTGGGAGGTGAACATCCTCGCCAAGACAGCAGATGCTGCTTTGGCCCGATGGATGTTTACCTGGGCCGAGTGCTGCTTGTTGCAGTCATCACTCCGAGGTTTGGTGCTCCGTGATGTCTGGTGAAGAGAGAGAGCAAGTCTCTCCACCACCGTCTATCACGGTAACCTCGGCCTCCTCGCAGCTGTCATCCAGAAGGAGCTCCTGGGCCAGCTCCTGGGATAACATAGGGTGTCCATCCCCCTGGTCGTCCCCAATGTCCATGCTAGTGATGGATTGTCCGTCTTTCTCCACACTCTGCGACGTCGGCTCCACATTCAGTGGTTCGAGGATATCCTCGACAGCCTCGCAGATGTCGTCACTGGGAGTCTCTTCCGCAGCTTTCTTAGTCTTTTTCAGACCGCTCACGTTGACGTGGCCAAACCGGAAGTTGAGCTTGTGGTCACGCTCCATTATCTCATCTCTACCGGTCTGGTCCATCCCTACGACCAGGAGTGCACCAGCTCCGTCGTTCTTCCTGGAGATGACTTTCCAGGCGTCCGTCTCGACACGGTTTTGGAAACCAAACCAATACTGGCCTTCGCCAGTATCTCCTTATTGGTCCGGTCTGAGCTCCTCGGGCAGAACAACGTGGCGTTGTATGCTGCCGGGATGTCTGCTCCCGTGCGGGTTTCTAGGGGTATTCCCCTCCACGTCCGCAGCTGAGGTACGGCAGTCTTAAGCCACTCAGCTGAGCCTTCATCCAGGCATAATCAGGTAA